ATTTTTTGTAGAGATGATCTTTGAATGAATATCTACAAAATAGACGGTTTGGATTAGTGAAATACAATCCATAGTGGGGCATACAAGGGGTGTCCCTCAAATAAGCTTATTTGAGGAATCCCTCAATGGAAGCTCTCTGTATATATATATATATATATATATATATATATATATATATATATATATATAACAAAAGGCAAAAAATTGGTAAAACATTGAAAATACCAGAAAATGTCATTGGTTAATGCAAACATTAAGAATTGAAATTATTAATTAAATGAGAATAATATGGTAAATTCACACTTTTTCATATTAAAAAAAATAAAATTAAAAGAAAATCAGATAATGGATCATATTTTTATGGTGTACAACTACCCATTATCTTTTTTAATTCTAAAATAAATTTATTAAATTTATTAAAAAAAAATCTCACAGGTGTGGAAGAGCGTGCGGAGAGGCTAGTATATATAAAGTAAGGTAGAGAATGGTGAAACATTCAATATACCAAAAAATGCAATTGGTTAATGCAAATATTACAAATTGAAATTATTAATTAAAGGAGGATAATATGGTCAATTTATATTTTTATATTAAAAAATTAAAATAAAAAATAAAATCTGATAATGAGTTCTATTTTTATTGAATAATTACTCATTTTATATTTTCGTAATATAGTCAATTTAGAGCTTCCACAATCATGCTATCTCTTTTTTTAGTTAAAATCTCGTTAAAAACACTGTAAAGCTATTTTAAGAGCTCTATAAAAAATTTCAACTTCAACCATACTCCCTAGTTTAAAGAATAATAAATCTTTTTAATATTTTTTAATTCAATTTTTGAATAAAGTGTAGACACAAAAACAACAATAAGAAATAGTTGGCATTAAATAAATGTTTAAAATAATATTAACTACAGAAGCATTTAATTATAGGGAGTCACTAGGAGTGATTTCCTATTTTTATGAAACACAACTACGCATTATCTTTTTTAATTCTAAAATAAAATTTGAATTTTTTTGAAAAAAATCTCGCAGGGGCAGAAGAGCGTGCAGAGAGGCTAGTATATATAAAGTAAGGTAGAGAATGGTGAAACATTCAAAATACCCAAAAAAAAAATGTCATTGGTTAATGCAAATATTAAAAATTAAAATTATTAATTAAATGAGGATAATATGCCCAATTTATATTTTTATATTAAAAAATTAGAATTAAAAATAAAATATGATAATGAGTCCTATTTTTATTGAATAACTACTCATTTTATCTTTTCGTAATATAGTCAATTTAGAGCATCCACAATCATGCTCTCTATTTTTTTAGTTAAAATTTAGCTAAAAACACTAGAAAGCTATTTTAAGACCTCTATAAAAAATTTCAATTTCAACCATACTCCCTAGTTTAAAGAATAGTAAATCTTTTTAATATTTTTTAATTCAATTTTTGAATAAAGTGTACAAGAAAACAACAATAAAAAATATAGGTTTTTTAGGTTTTAGACATAAAAAAATTTTCACTTTTGGAAAAAGCCAAAGCTTTTTCAAAAAAGACAAAAAAACCGCTCAACTTTCAAATCAAAGACATGCAAATGTATTGGATTCCTTAGGAAATCTAAAAATAAATAAGGGCATTTTTGTCCATTTTTGCTTCTTTTAAAATTTTTCTCTCTCCTTTTGCTTTTTCCAAAATGTCCCAAAAAATATTTAGCATTAAATAAATGTTTAAAATAATATTAAATATAGAAGAATTTAATTATAGAGAGTCACTAGAAGTTATTTCTCTCTCCTCAGATTTAGGAGCTCCTAAATATCTCCCTATTTTAGGAGCAAGATAGGGAGCATGGTTGGAGTGAGTTTTTCAATTCCTCCCCAAATTTTAGTTAAGAAGGTGGTTTAGGGAGCCCATTGTGAATACTCTTATTCCTCCCCACTGTTGTACTCCTCCCACCAAATCTTGATTGGATTAGGTAAAATAAAGAGGACTCGTTATCTATGGTCTAATCCCACAACTCTTCTTGCAATTTTCCCTTACAAAAATTCGTACAAACTCAAAACATAGTGTCACCTAGTGCTTACCTGCAGTTACTGTTGTGGTGCACTTAGTGTTGGTGGAACAATAGGAAATATGAATTTAAAGATAATAATTCTCAACAAAATTATAAGCATCAAATATGATAGCAAACACACATAGAACTCATATACACTAACAAACATAAATGTGTAGACATACTGACAACATTAGCGATTGAGGCTTGCAAGAATTGCAATGTCCTAAACACATATTTTGCTCCTGCCCTTGTGCTTGCAGTTCAACAGTTGTCCATCTCCCAAGATTTAACAATTGATAATCCTAAATTGAAGCACTTTAATTTAAAACTCTAGCAAACCAATTATATATTTGTACTCTCTTGACTAGACTCGGAATTGATCAAATGAGTAACTAGCATTGGGGAAATACTCTTTGTTTTTCCACAGGTTAGAACTTATCTTCAAGGAGGGAACTGTTGGGTTTATATAAGACCCAAACAACATTCTAGAAACAAACCATCGTAGTCGTTTCCAACAGAGGCAACTTCTTATTATAGTTAAGGGTAAATTTCATTAAGTGCTGTTATTTCCACTCACCTGTCTTATTTTCCCATGCACTTTATCTTCAAAAAATTTAAAGACGAATTTACCCATATATAAAATGCTTAACTGCTACAGTGCCCCATGAAATATTGGTCAATTCCCACTTATCCCCTTTAAAGTTAAAGTGACCCACTTTGCCCCCTTGACCGATGTTTTGTGTCTCACTTTACCCCCTCATCGTCAAGTCTATTAAAAATTATATTAAAAATGCTAACGTGGCACTAATAGGACCCACAATTTTGCTAAACTAAGTGCCACGTGTGAAGCAAAAAATTAAAAATTAAAAATTATCTTCTAAAAAACTTAATTTAACTATTAAAAACAAAAATAATACTTTAAAACCAAAAAATCCGACCTAAAAAACATAGAAGGGATCAAACAGTTATGCTACCATATACGCATATACATGCATATAATACTATCTTTCAGTTCATCTAAAACTGTAAAAATAAATAAATAAATAATAGTAATAAAATAAAATAAAATCGAGAGAAATATCCCAAAAAATTTTAAAAAACTAAATCAAATTTTTTATGGCTCATTTTCCATGACAGAAGCCATACCAGTCTGAGATCAAAATCTTAACCCTAGTCTGAGATCTCTTGGGCTTCAACTCTGGCAGTTTTCATTCCTTCGCCACTATCATCTTCTCTTCCTCACCCAAACTCTTCGACAGCTCAAATACCGACTCGTCCAACTCAATCTCAACCACAGAGATTGTGTGAGGAGACAGCCACTTGGCCTTGATGTACTCTGTTTGAATCTGACATCCACCCACTGCCCTGCACTGATGGATCTAAGTGGTGGGTATGGGGGGAGGTTGGGTTAGGGGTTGGGGAAGACGAGATGAATCACCCTAATTAAATCAAATAGAAGGGTTCGTGATAAGTCCATATTTTACATGTACTTTATGCCTCCTTTGCTTATTTATTTATTGATTTTCTTGGATTAAATTGTTGGGTTTAATGTATTTTGTGAGAATTGTGTAGTTGGTCCCTAATTAGAGGAATTGGACAAAAGTTGTCAAATTGGACTCCAAAACCATTAAGATGTACGACAAGGGTTAATTGGAGACAAAGAAGATTTTCTTAGAAGGCAATCAACCGGTCAAAGCTTAAAGGAGGAAGTTTGGTCAAATCCTTGTGGAATTTGGAGAAGCAATCAAAGAGATATTGGGAAAGATATTGGGAAGCCTATTTTTGGTAGTATTTGATTGTAACTAGGTAAATGATTTGTGTATTATAAATAGCATAGGGCTGGCCTCATAGAGGGGATCCATACTTTTCACTACCTGAAAATACCCAATTCTTACAAAGAGAAGTCCTGCTGCCGCCTGCCACCTTGGAGCTTTTTGGGAGTTTTCGAGTTCATCTTCATGTCTACCATCAACCATTCTGCGATTCTCAATAAGTTTATCATGTTCTAATTTCCTTTTTGCTTGGGCTACGATGTAGCCTAGTCATGAATACCTTATTTATGTGTTTATGTTAATTTGATATTATTTTCCATGTTAATTATCTTTTACCGTTCTTAATGCTTTGAGTGCTTGATCACCACTTAATTGATGTGATGCCTGAGTTGACGATAGGAATATCCAACTTAGGATTTTGCTTCTAGTAATTGATATCATAGGTTGCTTGAGTGAACTAGAAGGTTAATCAAGGCTTGTGTGGTTTCCATAAATTTTCATAAAACTTAATGGGTTTCTACTTCTTAGTTCTTCATCTAGGCATAGAGGAGGACAGTTGTAGGAATACTTTTGGTATAGATAGGCATGTCATATTGAATAATGAAGGGAAATTTACCATTAACATGGATAATAATTAGGATTAACTGGCTACAGGAATAGGGTAGAATTGGCTATGGTGAAATCGGAACCCTAGTGCTCATACCATCAGTGTTTGCCGAATTTCATTATTGTTTATGTTAGTTCATTCTTGTTAATCAAAGCCTCACCATTCGAACATCCAGATAAAGTTTAGGATTAATCATAATTAGTACTCAGTTAATTAGTCTTAGTCTCTGCGGAACGATACTCACTTACCACTTAAGAATTTGCAACAAGCTAAGGCCATTACATTGCAGAACGGATGACCAATCAAGACAGCCGGTTGATTGGGAACAAGAGCACGCTAGAGAGCTTCCTCTCGCAAGCAAGGAGTAGCAGAAGAAAGTTCCAGCAGCTGCCAATGGTATTCCAGCAGCTGCCAAACAAGATGGTTCAACTGGATAACTCAGAGCCAATTCCTATGTCCCTAAAATTCCATTCCTTCAACGTTTAAAGAGCAAGAAAGTTGAAGAACAATTTGAGAAATTTCTGCAAATTCTTAAGAAATTGGGGATCAATATTTCTTTCATTGATGCACTGGAACAAATGCCCAAATATGCAAAGTTCATGAAAGATATCATAACTTCAATAAAGAAATTGGGGAACAACCCCACAGTAAAGCTGTCCAAGAGAAGTAGCGTCATCTTGCAAGGCCAAAAACTGCCAGAGAAAAAGAAAGATCCAGGGAGTTTCGATATACCTTGCACAATTGGTTCTATTTATTTTGATAAAGCGTTGTGTGATTTAGGTTCTAGCATTAATTTAATGCCCTTATCTATTGCTAGAAAAATGGGTTTGGGGGAGGAAATTAAATCTACTTCTGTTTCTTTGCAGATGGTGGATAGATCAATTACACTACCCAAAGGCATGATCGAAGATGTGATTGTTAAGGTTGATACCCTTGTCTTTCCTGCAGATTTTCTTGTCATAGATATGGAAACCAATGGCAATACACCAATCATCTTGGGCCGGCCATTCTTACTTACTGGGAGGACCCTAATTGACGTTGAACAAGGTCTTGTGGTTTTAAGGGTAGCAGACAAGAGTGTGGCGATCAATGTGTATAAAGTGTTGCTCTATCCAGAAAGTGAAGAAATATCCTCACACTTTGAAACAGAAAATCCATGTGATCCAGTAGAGGCTTGTTTAGTCCACCACAATAACAAGGAGACGGCAAATCGGGAAATTATTGAGATGGCACAATACTTGGATGCATCAAAGCCAAAAATTAAAGATAAGTGGCCGAAATTCGAACCACTTGGTGACGCACCCCCTAAGCTACAACCAAGTACCATTGCTGCCCCCTCCTTGGTCTTAAAGCCTCTCCCATCACATCTAAGGTATGCTTTCTTGGGTCTCTTCCTATAATTATTGTTGTTAATTTGAACACTGCAGAGGAAGAGAAGTTGTTAAAAATTTTGCGACAGCACAAAGCTACCATAGGATGGACAATTGCAGATATCAAGGGAATTAGCCCTTCCAAGTGCATGCACCACATTTTATTGGAGGACAATTTCAGACCTTCCATAGAGCACCAACGCCGACTCAATCCAAACATGAAGGACGTTGTCCGAGTTGAGGTACTTAAATTACTAGATGCAGGTATTATTTATCCTATATCTAATAGTAGTTGGGTGAGCCCTGTGCAGGTTGTGCCAAAAAAAGGAGGGATAACTGTTGTAAAAAATGAAAACAATGAGATGGTGCCGACCCGCACTACAACTGGATGGAGAGTTTGCATTGACTACAAAAAATTAAATTCAGCAACCCGAAAAGATCACTTCCCGCTTCCATTCATAGATCAAATGTTGGAGAGATTAGCTGGGCATTCGCACAACCGCTTTTTGGACGGGTATTCTGGGTATAATCAAATACCAATTGCTCCTGAAGATCAAGAGAAGACCACATTCACATGCCCATTTGGCACCTTTTCGTACCGACGTATGCCTTTTGGCCTATGCAATGCATCAACCACTTTCCAACGGTGTATGATGAGCATTTTTTCCGACATGGTGGAACGTTTCATTGAGGTATTCACGGACAACTTCTCTGTCTTTGGCTCTTCCTTTGATTCATGTCTACATAACTTGGCCTTAGTTTTGCAAAGATGTGAAGAAACCAATTTAGTTTTAAATTGGGAAAAATGCCATTTTATGGTACAAGAGGGAATTGTTTTGGGACATCAAATTTCAACAAGAGGTATAGAAGTTGACAAAGCGAAAATTGACACCATTGCTAAATTGCCACGATCAAGGGCATTTGAAGTTTCTTGGGTCATGCCGGATTTTACTGTCGATTTATTCAAGATTTTTCCAAAATTACAAAGCCCCTTTGTAATTTATTACTCAAGGATGCCAAATTTAATTTCACTTCGAAGTGTTTGGAGGCTTTCAGTACTTTGAAGGAGAAGCTTACCTCAACACCCATCATAGTTGCACCAGATTGGGAATTGCCATTTGAAATTATGTGTGATGCTAGTGACTATGCGGTTGGAGCAGTTTTGGGTCAAAGAAAAAATAAACTACTCCACGTAATTTCTTATGCCAGGCGAACATTGAACGATACCCAATTAAACTACTCCACCACAGAAAAAGAATTGCTTGTCGTAGTGTTTGCATTGGATAAATTCCGCTCTTATTTGATTGGGTCTAAAGTGATTGTTTATTCTGATCATGCTGCTCTGAAAAATTTACTCTATAAGAAAGAGGCCAAACCCAGATTGATCCGTTGGATACTCTTATTACAAGAATTTGATTTTGAAATTCGTGACAAGAAAGGAACAGAAAACGTCGTCGCTGACATGGACTAGCAAAAGATAGGTTTGGGGGTATTTGATAAGTCCATATTTTACATGTATTTTATGCCTCCTTTGCTTATTTATTTATTGATTTTCTTGGATTAAATTGTTGGGTTTAATGTATTTTGTGAGAATTGTGTAGTTGGTCCCTAATTAGAGGAATTGGACAAAAGTTGTCAAATTGGACTCAAAAACCATTAAGATGTACGACAAGGGTTAATTGGAGACAAAGAAGATTTTCTTAGAAGGCAATCAACTGGTCAAAGCTTAAAGGAGGAAGTTTGGTCAAATCCTTGTGGAATTTGAAGAAGCAATCAAAGAGATATTGGGAAAGATATTGGGAAGCCTATTTTTGGTAGTATTTGATTGTAACTAGGTAAATGATTTGTGTATCATAAATAGCATAGGGCTGGCCTCATAGAGGGGATCCATACTTTTCACTACCTGAAAATACCCAATTCTTGCAAAGAGAAGTCCTGTTGCCACCGACCACCTTGGAGCTTTTTGGGAGTTTTCGAGTTCATCTTCATGTCTACCATCAACCACTCTGCGATTCTCAATAAGTTTATCATGTTCTAATTTCCTTTTTGCTAGGGCTACGATGTAGCCTAGTCATGAATACCTTATTGATGTGTTTATGTTAATTTGATATTATTTTCCATGTTAAGTATCTTTTACCGTTCTTAATGCTTTGAGTGCTTAATCACCACTTAATTAATGTGATGCCTGAGTTGACGATAGGAATATCCAACTTAGGATTTTGCTTCTAGTAATTGATATCACAGGTTACTTGCGTGAACTGGAAGGTTAATCAAGGCTTGTGTGGTTTCCATAAATTTCCATAGAACTTAATGGGTTTCTACTTCTTAGTTCTTCATCTAGGCATAGAGTAGGACGGTTGTAGGAATACTTTTGGTATAGACAGGCATGTCATATTGAATAATTAAGGGAAATTTACCATTAACATGGATAATAATTAGGATTAACTGGCTACAGGAATAGGGTAGAATTGGCTATGGTGAAATCGGAACCCTAGTGCTCATACCATCAGTGTTTGCCGAATTTCATTATTGTTTATGTTAGTCCATTCTTGTTAATCAAAGCCTCACCATTCGAACATCCAAATAAAGTTTAGGATTAATCATAATCATTACTCAGTTAATTAGTCTTAGTCTCTGCGGAACGACACTCACTTACCACTACACTATTTTGCTACGATTTTGTGTTCTACAATTTCATTAACAGTTCGCCTTTCTGCTTCTTTGCTAGTCTTAAACATGTAGACCTAAGAAAGAATAGAAAGGGTACTTCCTGGGGGGTGGCGTTCTCTGGGTTTGGTTTGATCTTGTTCTTGTTTTACTTTTTTCAATTATTTTGTTCTTTATTTTTTAAGATATATTTGTTATTGTTCTTGGTTTTTTTGTTTTAAATTTTTGGGTCGTTGGGAGGTTGCAATGGGGTGGATTTGGTTTTGGCTGGGTTTTTATTTTTTTTATTTTTAAATTTGAAGATTTTATTTTTAAAATGAATGAATTTTTAAAATAATTTATTGACTGAATTACCCCTTCAACTAACAGAAGTTAAAAATATATTGACATAAATTAAGTTTTTTAAAAGACAATTTTTAATTTTTAATTTTTTTTTCACACATGGCACTTAGTTTAGCAAAATAGTGGGTCATATTGGTGTCACGTCAGCATTTTTAACGGAATTTTTAATAGACTTGAAGGGGAGGGGCAAAGTGAGACACAAAACATTGGTCAATGGGGCAAAGTGAGTCACTTTAACTTTGAGGAGGTTAAGTGGGAATTGACTAATGTTTCAAGGGGCACTATAGCACTTAAGCATATATAAAACGACTTATAAGGTCACGCAACCCACTTATTCTAGACTTCAATTACTTAGCTAATTTGTTGACACCTGGCACTAATTTACTCTACGTTAACACTGTTAATTCAAAATAAAAGTATTTAAAAAAAAATTAGAAAGAAAGGAAAAAAACCCAGCAAACATCCACCAGACTACCCACTCAATCCCACGACAACCAACCTTCCCTTCTCACCTCCCCGCTAGCCACATCTCTCTCCCAACTGGGCAACTTGAGAAGAAAAGGGCAACCAGACTACCACGCGACCAGTTGTGTATTAGATGACTATATTTTTGAAAAATAAGCCAGGCCATTCTTTTACCATTTGATGCACGCTGGTTGTGTTTTTCTACCATTGTGTGTCTAGTCAGCACATAGGCAACCATCACACTAGGAGGTTGATTTGTCATTGAGGCTTAGGTAGACCTTTTAAATCCTTGTTCATCTATTCATGGGTTGATTGAAATAGAGAAAGGAGAAGAAGGTTAGATTGGGGATTTAGGTGGACTTAGTGGGTCATAACATAACAAAGGTTTGACAGAGGGTTTGAAGTAGTTTTGAAGCTTTTGTTTAATACAACTGAGGAGGAGGAGGTGGCGGTGGCGGCTTGGCTGGCGGTGGAAGGTACGTGTTTCTTGTTAGGTTTGATGGACTGTGCGACTGGTGGCTGCTAAAACTCTTCATTTTCTAATTTTATGTTTTCATTTATTTTTTTAATTTTTTTGGACTCAACAGTGTTAAGGGTTAAAAGTGTTAAGTGAATGTCCAGGTGTCAATGATATTTTAGGAATAATAGTGGGTGTAAAGATAAGATTATATTTTTTAAAATTTAAATAGTGGATGTGAAGATAAGATGTGTGGGAAAATAAGACAATGAGTGAAAATAGCAGCACTCATTTCACTTTATACAAAAAGTTTGACTTTTCTATTATTTCCGTACATACATCAATTATTCCGTCATACAAAAAGGAAACAAAGAACTCTCTCACCAGCACTAGTCATCTCTTGCTTTCAAGCCACGAGAAATTATAGAATATACTGTATCACCACATCAGCTAGTGATACTCCCACTCAAAATCTGCCACATGTACTTTTTAAAACAAAATTAAAATATATTTTACAACTGGACTTTGGCTTACAACTTTACCCTTCAACTTTAATGACCCTAACCCTAACCCTAACCCTTCGCCCCTCCGGCTTCCCTGTGCTATGCCCCTGCTATCGATGCCACACAACCCTCTTCCCTTACCCCTCTCAGCCACCCACCCTGGCCTTCCCTCCCACTCCAATGTTCCCACCCCCTCTTTCTCTCCCTCTCGTTTTCGGTGAAAAGTTAAACCCATTAATAAAAAGCCAAAATCTTAAAAATATGTGCAAACCCATTAAACATGAAACCATAAATCTTTTAAAAAAACCACTAGTGAAAGAAGGGAAGATTGACGTTATGGGCAACCAGGAATTAATTGTGTTATAGAGCAAGTCAATGGGGCAGGGCTTGATGAAGGAAATCTGCCAAAAATCTCCCCCTTCTACATCAGATTCTTCTTCTTCCTCACCATCTTCATTATCGGCTTTCATTCGAGAGGTCTTTTTAAAAGAGTAAGAAGTGAAATGTTCAGAGATTACCCATCTTTTTTAGCTTCAAGGGTGTCTTTAGAGATTAAATGGTCGAGTTTAACCGGATTTTGTTTATGGGTTTTGAGTCCTTTGACAATAGAAGTTGGTAGCCAAAGTCCAGTAGTAAAATATATTTTAATTTTGTTAAAAAAAATACATGTGGCAGATTTTGAATGGGGTATCACCTACAGTAGCACTCGATAAGCCCCACCCCACCCCACCCACACCGTTGCCTAGCCTTCCTAAAAAATTTCGTGGCACACCCATCCCTCCCCCAAAAAAAAAGAAAAAAAAAGAATTGTGACTATCAACCAGACCATACCTGCAACCCACGACCACCTCAAGCACAAAATCAAACCTGACTCAAATTTGTTAAACCTCTTTCTAAGAGCATGGTCTGGTGTGCTGGTTTGGGAATCTTCCCTTCAAATATGGTGATTTCATTTCGAGATGAGACATTAATCTGAAGGTATGAATTTGTTGGGTTATCTCAGCAATTTAAGCCTCTTTCTGAGCTGCTGGGTTTGTTTAGTTCAATCATTTTGTGTTTGACTGGGTTTCATGAATTGAAAAGGAGAAACTGAGTTTGATGAGTAAAAGAAACACAAGAACTTTTTTCTGGGTTTGATAAATTGAAGGAGAAAGATGCCTGGATAAGGTTTGATTCTATTGATGGGGTTGCGTTACTGGCTGTCGGAGAGAGGGGAGGGATGGAGTGGGTGGGTTTAGTGGCTGTCCAACAGAGAAGATGAGAAAGAGGAACTTTTGTTTTTGTTATATTTTCTTTCTCCTTTTCAAAAAAATTTATTTATTTAATCTTTTATGGCAAAAAGTCACTTTTAGTGTTTGCAGTTTGCCACTTTTACCATGTTGGTTTCTGTCATTTTAATTTGAAGCAATGCAAGTAGAATCCGCAATTTCTGTCATGTTTTTTTTTAACTTCTGTTAGTTGTGGAGGGGTAATTCGATCTATAAATTATTAAAAATATGCATTCCTTTCCCCGCTAGAAGGGCGAGAGCCAATACCAAACAGTAGCTTGTTCAAATGACAACCAACAGTTGCAATGGCTTCTGCATCAGCCATGACGCTTGCTGCACTTCTGTGGATGCATGATTTGTCAAAATATTCATTGTCTGGCTCATCAGACATTCTAATAGTCTAGTATTTGTGCACAGTTCCCTGAAAGAAATTTGAAAAGAGAGAGAGAAAAAAAAGAGCATCGATGGGAGGGAGAGATGATCTGGCGCCGGCACGTTTGAATTGTTTCTGATTGGCCAGCTCGTTTGAAGTTTTCACTTTCTGCAGATAGAAATATACGAACCAAACTGAAACAACCACAGATAGCAAATGGCAGGAGGAGTGAGGAGGATCAAGTTGGGTTCACAAGGCCTTGAGGTCTCTGCTCAAGGCCTGGGATGTATGGGAATGTCTGCGTTCTATGGCGCTCCGAAGCCCGACACAGACATGATCAGTCTCATCCACCATGCCATTGACTCCGGCGTCACCTTCCTCGACACCTCTGACATCTACGGCCCCTTCACCAACGAAATTCTGCTTGGCAAGGTATGCCACTAACCTTGACTTTGCTTCTTAATATTTGCTCATAATTTGTATCAATTGCTTTTTGGGTTTGTTTGGGCTGTTAAATTGGATGAGTTGACGATAAAATGAATTGGGTTTGGTTTGGAAGTTACTAAATCAAGCACAAGCACTGAGAGAGAATATAATTTGTACAATTGCTTTATGGGTTTTGTTTGTATTGTTGAATGGGATGAATTAATGAAGAAGTGAATTGGGTTGTGTTCACTCTGGTTCCTGTATTTAAGATACTAAGCCAGCCAAGCACAAGCATTTAGAGAGACAATGATAAATGTAATTGCTTTTTTGGGTTTTGTTAAGATTTTTCAATTAATTGCGATTGATGATGATGAAGTGAACTAGATTTTGTTGGATTGATGTGGAACAGGCTCTGAAGGGAGGGGTAAGAGAGAAGGTTGAATTGGCCACCAAATTTGGCATCTACTTCGCAGACAAGAAGATGAAGGTGCGAGGTGACCCTGCCTATGTGAGGGCTGCTGCTGAGGATAGCTTGAAGCGCCTTGGTGTTGATTCTGCTGATCTCTATTATCAGCATCGGATTGACACCACTGTCCCCATAGAAGTCACGGTTTGTCTTCTTCCCTCTTTGAGATTTGATCTCCTTTAATAGCAATTACAGAGCAATATGCATCTGCAGGCCTAGTAAAGTAATGTTTATCCGAAGATTTTACAACATCTTGTATCATTTTTAGTCACATGATTTATCAATTCCTCAATTCGATTTCATTTGTGGTTTACCTTGCAGAAGTCATGGTTTGACCTCATATCTCATATAACAGGAACCCCTTGTTTGTGATGGCAAATTAGTTGTAATTTTTTAAAGTTTAGTTCTATCTCAATGTGATTGCATCCTTTTTTTGGGACTTGCTCTAGAGTATCATAAAATGTAGTATTGATTATCTTGAAGCTAGTTCTCTTTTCTTACTAGACTGAGTTTTTCTTTTCTTTTCGTTTGGTTCTGGCAAGGTAGGGGAATTGAAGAAACTAGTTGAAGAGGGTAAGGTGAAGTACATTGGCCTATCTGAGGCCTCAGCTTCTACAATAAGAAGAGCACATGCTGTTCATCCAATAACAGCTGTGCAGTTGGAGTGGTCCTTGTGGTCGAGAGATGTCGAGGCAGAAATAGTTCCTACTTGCCGGTGAGGCTTTATGGAACTGGTATAACTGTTTTATTTGTAAATAACAAATATGAACCAAATTTATTATAATTTATCTCACTTGCCTAAATTTATCAGGGAACTTGGCATTGGTATTGTTGCATACAGTCCTCTAGGGAGAGGATTCTTTTCATCAGGGGCTAAGTTCGTCGAAAATCTCTCGCATAATGATTCTCGAAAGGTTTGTTGGTATTTCACAAATTTTGTCGATTTTAAATTACCAAACTGCCAGATAAAGTTTTCTTGGTATCATCATGATGCTATTATTGTGTATTTCCTGAACTTCCATCTCCCCTGAAAGATCTCAAGTTGATAATTCATCTAACAAAGCCTAGTAGTCTCTCCTAGTACCTTCTTACTGAGTTTTCTCAGTAGTCTTCTCTCCATAAAAAACTTGGCTGGTGCACAAAATTTCTTTTTGTAACGTTAGTACCTAAGTAGCTGTCATTCATCCAGACAGTCAGAGCCCACTAACGTTCTAATTTGCTTCAATATTCTTTATTTTATAATGTTTTGTGGTGGCAAGGAAAATTTCTCAGAGTTTCACACTCCCATTTTTCATTTAGGCCTTTCGGTTTCTCTAATGGTTCACTATAATTTGAAGAAATAAATTGGCAAGAAAGGTTGCCCTTGAGCTTTTCCTGATTTCCTAGAAAGTTAACTGTAGTTTTCTGGTCATGCTTATTTCTGCCCATGGGATTGTTGTACATCTTTATCATGTCATTTTGATCAAGCAAACTTAGTTTTGATTCTGAATTGTTTAGTTCAATGGTTGCAGCTTCACCCCAGGTTCCAGCCCGAAAACGTAGAGCATAATAAAACACTATTCGAGCGGGTTAGTGATCTTGCTGCTAGGAAAGGGTGCACCCCATCTCAGCTAGCACTGGCCTGGGTTCATCATCAAGGAAAGGATGTGTGTCCGATACCTGGAACCACCAAGATTGAGAATTTTAACCAGAACATTAGTGCTCTCTCTGTGAAACTGACACCAGAAGAACTGGCTGAGCTTGAATCTTTTGCTTCTGCTGATGCCGTTAAAGGTGACAGATATCAGAATGACGTTAGTACTTGGAAGAACTCTGAAACTCCTCCAGTGTCTTCATGGAAAGCCACATGAGCATGTGCCTTTTGTCTTGTCATAATGCTTCTTTGTACCTCATGAGCTTTGTGAATTTCCTTACCGTTAGGAGTTATGTTATGACTGACTTTGAGACGTTGGTCATTTTGTAAATAGATTTCATCATGTTGTATGAGTATCTATAAGTATGAAATAATCTGGGGTCAAGCGAAGTTCATTTTGTTTCTTTGACTTAATTTTCAAATTTTCATGTGGGTTGAAACATACATTTTGTGTCTATATTGTATGGTTCTTTTTCGAATATATGGGGAAGATAAGTAGATTATCAAACTCTTCCACTCTCTCCTTACCTCTAAGACCTCCTTCATCCCCCTTTTCCTATCCTTAAGATCCAACAACCTGTCTTTTGGAACTCACTGCACATCATTTCCCTTGGCATCAACAGCATTTCTATTAGAAGCTGCACCCATTCCTTTAGAAGCATAACATTTCCTTTAGAACCCTCAACATTTTCATTCACCGTTTTTTCCCCTATTTTGACAATACGATATCTATAATATTCTAATGTACGAGGAGGGAATAAGATATGGGTGTAAAGAAACGGGTACCCTGCTTTGCGCCTTTGCGCAATTAACCTAACTCCATGGTTATAATTTTGGGTAAACTCGACTGAATAACTCAACCCGATCATAAGAGCACTTCCAACAAGGGGTCCTTTCCAGGGCAGGTGGGGGCCCAAGCCCCAAAAAAGCGTTCCAGCGGACCAAAGCTGCCCAAGCAGCTTGTGGGTCCCACGAAACAGGGCTAGCCCACAAACGAAACGAGCCTATGCTCTAGCCGAGGGTTGCTAACGTTATGGTTGACACTAGCCTGACGTCAGCACCCGGGTTTGAAATTTTTTTACCGTTGGAGCATACATTTCACACGCCAACGGTAAATAAATAAATAAATAAATTGAATTCCATGCACTGACGCTAGGCTGGCGTCAGCCCTGATTTTGTGCCAACGGCTAGAAGCCATGTGGCCGCCTTTGGGCTCTCCGATCTAGTTTTCTCCTCAAATCCAATGGCTACCTTTTTCTTTTTCTTTTTCTTTTTTTAAATAAAAAATCTGGAAAAATATTACCAAAAAATTCTAGAATTTTTATATATATTATAAATACCTACCAATATTCTTCGCTTTCAACACCAAATCCTCATATATTTTCTTCTCCTTCTAATATTATTCACTTTCTAGACAAAATTTTATTCACTTTCAAATTTCATTTTTATTCATCATCTTATGGCATCTTCCATCGAAGCCGGAGGGGCGTGGACAACCATGGAAGATGTTCTGTTGTGTAAGTGTTGGGTCCAAGTTGGTCATTGTCCGATCACGGGCAATGAGATGAAATTCTCTCATATGTGGAGAAAAATTCATGTTGAATTTTGTGAAAGATCTGGTTCGGCTCATACAGAAATGGCCTTGGCTAGTAGGTGAATTTTTTTTGAATAAAGAGTTGGGGAAATGGAGAGATGTGTTGGCAAAAGCAAGGGACAACCATTGAAGCGGGGAAAATCGTGGCAATGAGGTAAAGTATTTTTAATTTCCGTTTTATTAATTTTAATGTCCTAATTTGCTTTTTTTTTTAAAAAAAAATAATGTTTCTTGCATTTCCAATTTTTTTGTTATTTATAAAATAGATTATGCAAGCACAAATGTGGTTCGGTGCCATTGGGTAAGGCAAAAAATCTTTCAACCATGACCAATGTTGGGAGGTTTTGAAAAATTATTCGAGGTTCAGAATTATTCCCACAGGTCTAACCATTGTGTTGAACGACACGCCACTCCATGATTCAACAGCATCCAATTTGCCTTTGGATTCCCCAATGAGTCAAGACTCACCAATCCAAAGGGAGCCGAGGCCTATTGGGAGAAAGGCGGCAAAGGCCAAGAGAGGGAATACTTCGACCAATGATACTGCAAAATTTTTGGAGCAAATTGCAAAGAACGGCACCATGAGAATTGAGTTACACATGAAAAAAGATGCGGATGAGAAGGCACTGAATAAAGAATATGCACGAGAAAGGGAGTATATACGCAAACAAGACATTGAGAAGAAGGATCGAGAAACCATGGCCATGGATACAAGCCATATGTCCACTGAAACAAAACAATTTTGGGAGCTAGAACGAAGGGATGTTATGAGAAGAAGGCTTTTCCATGACGATGGACCTAGCAACACTGATTGGTTAAATGATCAAAACCATTAAGTTATTTTGCTTGCCTTTTATTTAATTGTATTGCTTGTTTTTTTATTATTAAAGTAGTGGTAATCCTTGTCTTTTATTTAATTAGTAGTACATCTTAATTAGTTGTATTGCTTTTCTTATAATGAATAAAGAAATCATACATTTTTATTCAACACATTGCATACATACATTTTTATTCAACACATTGCATACATCAAACTAAAGCATAATTAAAAACAAAAAAACATAACCAAAGCATAATTAAAAACAAAACACAACCAAAGCATAATTCAAAACAAAACATAAACAAAGCTTACATCAACATAGAGCAAAATTGAAAACAAAGCATCTTTACTTGACTTCATAGGTGATATTCGGGGCTTCACCTCTCAAGAGGTCGTTGAATACCGAGGATTGACCCAGCACGTTCAGGTCATTTTGAGATCCTACAATTTTGACAAAGGCATGCCAAACCCATGTATCGAATCCAGCAACGGCTTCCAGAATGATACTCTTTTGCCCTTTCCTATTCCCATAATCTCCTTGCCAGGCAGTTGGGCAATTCTTCCATTGCCAATACATACAGTCAATGCTTCCAATCATGCTTGGAAAACCTCGAGCTTCAACTTTTTGTAGAAGCCTTTGGAGGTCCCTAAGCGTAGGTTTGCGAAGGTGGTCCCTGGTGTAGAGAGTTTCGATTACATCACAGAATCTGACTAAACTCTCTAGAGTAGTGAACTTCCCCATCCTAACAATCTCATCCACCTAATTAGTAGATGCACCATACGTCAGCATTTGTATAGCAATTGTAAGGTTTTGCTCCAGAAGAAGCCCCAAAAACTAGCAGCATCACACTTCTGAACGAAGTATGAATCATAATTGCAAACATCATGCATGACTTTATTGAACAAATGAGGTTTCATTCTATATATCTCTCGAAAATCAACATTCAGGCCACGGCTGACTTGTGAACCACTGTGGCGGCCTTGCCTTGATAGATCGAGCATACCCAATGCCATGGCAACTTGTTCATCATCTTCTTGCTGCACCCTTTTTTCTTAAGCTCTTCTATGCCATCTTTCTTTAATTTCTCACTCTTGTCTCTCCAAGCATCTCCTCATGCTTAACATTGAAAGTGGAGTATGAAATCTAAAATCTGAGAAATGAAAGGATAGAAAGATATGATGTGAGAGGTATGAGTTGAGCCTATGGTTTTATAGAGAAATTTAGAAGATAGAGATGACACGTGGCGCGATTTTAGAGGGTGAAAATCTTATCTGAAATATGAGATTTGTATTTTATAATAAATATCGACACGTGGCACCTGAGAATCTTATCCTAAAATTTTATTTGAAATTTGAGATTTGTATTTTATAATAAATATCAACACGTGGCAACCGAAAATTTTATCTGAAAATTTTATCAGAAAAATTAATTCGAATTATGAGATATGAATTTTATAATAAATATTGACACGTGGGAACCGAAAATCTTCTAAAAATTAATTGTTTAGGTTAAAAAAAAAACTAAAAGTGAATAGTATTTGCCCTTTGTCATGGCAATGGGTGAAAACACATCTTGCCTTGCCCTTGCCCTTTGCCATGACAAATGGATGGAAGTGCTCTAAGAGGGTTGGCCTGGTAATGAGTGGGTATTGGATTCAAAAAATATAA